AACGTCGCGGTATTCACAAACGATCGGTACTGACTCGGGAGACGACTCCTCCTTCTGACTCCCAACGGCACTCACTAAGTAGCCCTGGCAACCACTCTTCTGAAGATTTTTCATCGCCTTCATGCTAGATACAACTCTGGGTACAGTCCTAGTCTGGGCTCCGAAAAACACGATTCGATCACCTCCTGGCAATTCCAATGTCACCTCTCGCTGGTGGCAGCTGAAGTCGGCATGGTACTTTGTCAACCAGTCCATCCCTAGAATAATGTCAAAGTCCTTCATGTTGATGACATAGGTGTCAGCCTCTAGATCTCGTCCTCCGATGTTCATCTTCAAATCCTGTACCACAGTGTTTGTAACAATCGTCTTCCCCGAGGCTAGGCTGACCTCTAGGGCATCGACTGCACTCACACTTTGGACTCCGATGGCCTCCAGACAGCTCGATGAAATAAAGGAATGCGTTGCTCCGGTATCAAACAATGCGAATACAGGTATACCATGCACAGAAAGCATTCCAGACATAGTACCTTGATTATTTGCTGCCTCAAGTTGGGTCAATGCGAACACTCGGGCTCTTCCTCCTGGTCCTGGCTGCTGCTGCTGATCCTGACCGCGCTCCGGACAATACTGTGCCATATGCCCCGGTCTCTTGCATCGGTAGCAGATGTTCTTGCCAGCTAAGCACTCTCCCCTGTATCCTCTGCCGCAGGTAGCACATGGTGGGCGGTCGGCTAGCACCTACTGGATTGGTTGGGCTGCCTGGGGTGGTCTGTTGTCTTGCCTGTTCTTCTTGCCCTTCCCTTTGCGATCATCAATCCACTTTCTCTTCCTGGCATTGTTGGATGGTTGGGCTATGTCAGCGGATCGAACGGAGAGTGATTGGGACCCCATCTGCTGGCACATCTCGAGTCGCTGGGCCCTCTCAATTGTCTCGGCATAAGTCAGATATCCGTGGCCGGCTATTAGCATGAGGAGGTCTCGTTTAAGGCCATACAGGAAACGAGTGGCCTTCTTCTCTTCTGTATCCACTAGATGTCGGGCAAACGCGCTCAAACGGGAGAACTCCCGCTCGTATTCTGTCACAGTGCGGTTCCCTTGGCTAAGGTTCATGAACTCTCTCTCCATCTAGTCACGGAAATGACGAGGATAGTACTTCTCCGTGATGATCACCTTGAGCTGCGCCCAAGTCAAAGCGTCTCGCTCGCCTACCGGCTTTAGGCGCCAATAGTCTTCCCACCATTGTCCAGCCTCGCTCTCTAACATGTATTCCCCGCAGATCACCTTCTGGGCCTCAGTACACGCCATCAAGCGAAAGATGCACTCCAGCCTAAGGAACCAGTCGCCTACTGACAGTGGTCCCCCCTCTCCGGTGAAAGCCGGAGGTGACATCTTCCCGAACTGAGCAACAACCCGGACATGAGTCTGCTCCGGGGGTGGCTGCTGCTGAGGGTCACGTCTTGGAGGCATTTTCTGAACATAATGCGCGAGAAGAATTTAGAATAACTGATTAAAGCTCAAATCATAAATTTTGAACTTAACTAGAGTTCTCAAGAATAAAAGGAGGATAAGTTCTAAGCCCCAAATAAACATGCATGTTCTATGACTGACTTACTAACTCATACCTGGGTTCCGGAGCGGCTCAAGGTGGCGAGTGGTCATATTTTTCAAAAGTATTCAGAAACGCTAACTGCGCTCTGATACCAAACTGTAAGCACCCTCTACTTATACATTTAAAAATTATCAGAGTTTCTGAAAAATGAATCAAACTTTTCGAAAATAATTTAACTTTTAAAACATGCCTTGAGGGTACTTACTAAACATATACTAGCTTTACTGTCATGACTGCTTTTAATCATTTCAGGATATCTGATCCCGACATAAACATGTTCAATTCATTAAGACCAAGCAGAGCCATCGATACTAGTCCCGATAAATGAATTGAAAAACTGAAACTAAAATCCAAACAATGTTCGAAAAATAAACTGTTCAATAGCGGAAGCAATAAATAAACTGCATATGACCACCACTAGCCCCTCTTGAGTCCCGCCCGGCATGCTAACCTGAAAATGATAATTGTGGGGGCTGAGCAATAATCAACATGCTCATCAATATTCCATACTATGCAATTATTCATAATAAAAACAGATATAGATGACATTGGCATATATATATATAAATGAACTGTAATACTCATGCTGCAGACTCCGGACACTGGCCGGTATTCATGTGCACATTCTGGGGGTCGCCTCCCACAGAACCGGGACGGGTACGCTCACCACCATCCAGGCGAATAGACTAGAACGGGTACGCTCACCACCATTCAGTCATAAATATCTAGGACGGGTACGCTCACCACCATCCAACTTACATTATCAATATAAACATACCTCAAACATAAATACCTTGCGTTTATTAAGAATTAGAACATAGCATGGAAAATCCCCACCTTTTGAACTTACTGACTGATGAAAATGCACGTGCGTCTGAATGAGGGCTCGACTCCTTTTAATCTGAATTTTGATTATTAAGTCTTATTATTAGAATTTTGGTTAAAATGCAGATCAACACACTAAAACACATAAGGCACATATATCAGATAAGAGAACATAATTCGTTCAAATAAAAGTAGTTAAGTGCACATAACATTCTAACTCCTCTCGGTTCAAACAATTTTATAAAATCGCATCCTTATCAAAAAAGTCTAAAAATTGAACAACATGCTTATAACACATGAAAGAATTTTACATAAAAGTTACAGGTCAATCACATGAACACAATTTGGAATATAATACTACCAAGTGCAGAATTATATGTTGACGGTCTAACATTTTACATTTCCTCAAAATCCAACAGAATCAGCTAAAACTCAACATGCTTACTTTTAACATATAGATAGACATGTCATAAAAATTTCAAGTCAAAACAGCCACTGAGGCATGAGATATGGCGATCGCAAGTTGCAGCTAAAACTAAACATTCTCGAACTCGCATGACACATAATTTTAAAAAATTCATATCTCATGATGTATGCGTCCAAAATTAATGATTCTTGTCCTCAAAGACTCACAACAGGCACAAGAATTTACCATAAAAACGGTAAAATAGCAGGTCATTCATGGATAGGGCAAAACGAAGTCACAAATCATCAATACTACGCAGAAATCATTTCGGACAGCATCTCGATCAAACATTTTTATAAAATTCATTTCAAATCTAAATAATCTGAAATTTTGCAGTATTGTTCTCAACATAGTTATGGATCAACACACAAATTTTCATAATTTTCAGAACACATTAGACAGGGCAAAAATCGAATCGAACAGGCTGATGTATCATGAATTCAAATTCGTATTCCTCATCATTTTATTTTCTTATTTATCTATTTAATTCACACCACTTACTACAAGGCTTCAAAATTGAATATAGAACTCTGAAAAAACAACACTCCATGACAACATGCTAACCATAAAAGAACTCAGCAACAATGACATGAAATGTGGCCCAAAATTCATAACATACATGCATATTCACAAGCCTCTTTCATCTTATTATCCCATTCTTTTTCTCAAAACATATAACACGTGCTGGGGCTGAATAAGCTGGAATAAGAACTCCAAATACACTTTACTTACAGCATGTTATTCACACAAGGCTCAGCATATATATCAAATAAAAACCTGGCCAGAAGCACAACAACACTTCTCATTTCATCTTCTCTTTTCACTAAGCTAAGCATGCCTTTTTATCTTTTTTAAAAACTGATTCTTAAACATCATTACGACCACAAGGAAAGGATTAAAAGGCTCAGCCCATTACCTCGAAAAAGACGTAAGGACAAAGGGTGAAAAAGAGGCTCGAATGGGCTAGGTCTTCGCTTCGATTGATGGCCACGAGCTATCAACTTTTGGCTGGAAAAATCTCGACCTTAGGACCTCCGAAAAGGTCCGAAACTCACCGCTGTCAATCCTCCTCTGTTCGGGTTACCCGGCGCTCGCGTGACAGCTGCAGCGGCGAGCTCTCGGTTGCTGCGGTAAAGAAATTCTAAGGGCTGGGGCCTTACTTTTCTTAGTGATCTTTCTGTGAGATTTCTGAAAATTGTAAAATGGGACTGGGGGTGGTAAAGGGAGGTTATAAACGTGTAGAAAAAAATTAAATCTTTTGAATTTTGAAATCATGGAGGGATAATGGAGTGTAAACCGAGTCTTAGGGAATTGGTTGGAGTAGTTATTGATGGCTTTTGACTTGGTCTTGAGGGCACTATTTTATTAGTTGGTGGCGGCTGAAACTTGAGCTTGGAGGCTGGTGGAATTATCCAAGATATATGTCACATGGGGAGTACTTGGAGACTTGGTCTTTGCCTTTGATTTCTTAAAAATCTCATAAGATTTTGTTAAGTGGTGGGGGCGTGCATTTCATGGAAAATGAAGGTGTGCATGGTCGTGGCTCACTTGCTTGGTGAGGATCAAAGACTTAGCCCAACATGAAGTTTAGGGAAGAAAAAAAAATGTAAACTTAGGTAAAAATAATGAACTTAGGCTTAGAAATATAAAACTTAGGCTCAAAATAGAAAATGGCCGAACTTAACTTAATCTTTCGAAACCCTTTGGCATGCTTTAACATAGTAAAATCATATGGAAATACAATAAACGAGCACACAAACAATTAAGCTAGCTAACAAAATAAACAAGCAATTAGACAATTAATACAAATTAAGCAACTAAACTTGGTAACACAATTTAAGCATTTAAGCAAATAAGAAAATTAATTAGACGAGGACATATACTTAATCTTAAATTTTTAAACGGCAAATTAAAATAGATGAGGACATCTATTTAATTCGATTGTTGGATTATACGATTTATACCCGATGTTGAGCTAAGGAATGAAATGCAAATGACCTTTATCTCTTATTCATAAAACGGGGTGTTACAAAAACAAACTTGTTGGTCCCAATTATATTGACTGGAAAAGGAAATTGGATATTGTGTTGACTGCTGAAGGGTATAAATTTGCTACTGTTGAGGCTTGTCCTGTTGTGTCTGCTGACAATGCACCAGACCAAGAGAAAGAGGAGTATGCTCGGTGGAAAAAGGCTGACGAGATGGCGAAGTGTTACATCTTGGCATCTTTGTCAAATGTACTTCGACATCAACATCAGTCTATGAACACTGCAGCGGATATGCTACTCAATCTCAAGGAGTTATTTGGTCATCGGTCACGGGCTGCCCGACAAGAGGCCATGAGGGTTCTGATGAACATGACCATGCGCGAGGGCATTCCCGTAAGGGAACATGTTCTTGCTATGATGGCCCAGCTGAATGAGCTGGAGGTTCTTGGGGCTTTTATTGATGGGGAAACCCAGGTCGATATAGTGCTCCAGTCTTTGCCGAAGAGCTTCGAGCAATTCCGGTTGAATTATAACATGAATAAAATGTTGATGACTCTTCCGGAACTTGTTGCTGAGCTTCAAGCGGCAGAGGGCCTGTTTCGTCAGAAGTCCCAAGCCATGGTGGCCCAGCGGGGAGAAGCTTCCACTTCTAAGGCTCCTAAGGGCAAGAAGAGGAAGAAGTCTGCAGGAAAGGGCAAAGCGGTCATGAGTGACGCGCAACCTCAACAAAAGGCAAGGAAGCCGAAAGGCAAGTGCTACAACTGTCAGCAAAAAGGACATTGGAAGGCAAACTGCCCTCTTCCCAAGAAACCAAAAAAAGGTACTCCTTTTGCTTTTTAGTCGTTGAAACATGTTTAGCAGTGTTATCTACCAGTACCTGGTGTGTAGATACGGGGGCCACTGATCATGTCTGCAATTTATTGCAGGGGTTCCAGGAAACCAAGCGACTTAGGGAAGGAGAGGTTACCATCTACTTGGGCGATGGTAGTAGAGCGTCAGCAGTTGCAGTGGGAGAAGTCTATTTAGATTTTGGCTTAGATAGGTTTCTAGTTTTGAAAGATTGTCTTTATGTTCCCAGTTTTAGAAAGAATTTGATTTCAGTTTCTAAGTTGTTTATGAACGGTTTTTCCGCTACGTTTGATAATAAAGTTGTTATTCGTTTTGGCAAAAAGTTCATATGCTCTGGTACATTAGTTGACAATCTGTACATTCTATTATCTAAGTCATCTCCACTGCAACAGAAACAATTACTTAATTCATCATCTAATCTGAATAAGAGAAAGGAACCATTTAAATTGAACGAAACATATCTTTGGCATCTAAGACTTGGTCATATTAACCTTAGGAGGATTCAAAGGTTGGTGGCAGACGGGCCCTTGGGGTCGTTAGAAGTCGAGGCTTTTCCAACTTGTGAGTTTTGCCTGGAAGGGAAAATGACTAAGAGGGCTTTTAGTTCAAAGGGGCATAGAGCCGAAGATGTGTTGGGGTTATTCATTCCGATCTATGTGGTCGTATGAGTATTCAAGCGAGGGGTGGTTTCGAGTACTTCGTTATGTTTATCGATGATTACTCGAGATATGGATACATTTTCCTTCTGCACCGCAAGTCTGATTACTTTGGGAAATTCTTGGAGTATAAGGCAGTTGTGGAGAAGCAGTTAGGAAAAAGTATCAAGTCATTACGATCGAATCGTGGTGGCGAATATCTCTCGAATGAATTTAGGAGCTACTTGACGGATAATGGGATTACGTCCCAGCTGACTGCGCCTGGCACGCCTCAGCAGAATGGCATAGCAGAACGGAGGAACATGACTCTTATGGAAATGGTTAGGACAATGATGAGTTATAGTACATTACCAGATTCGTTTTGGGGATATGCCCTAGAAACAACGGTATACATTCTGAATAGAGTACCTTCTAAATCAGTACCATCTACACCATTGGAGTTGTGGTCTGGGCATAAACCTAGTCTAAGACATCTCAGGATTTGAGGTAGCCCAGCACATGTGCTGAGAACTGATACTGATAAGTTGGAACCGAGATCAGAAGTAAGGCTGTTTGTGGGATATCCTAAGGAAACGAAAGGTGGTCTATTTTATAGTCCCAAGGACCAGAAAGTAATCGTTAGCACGAATGCTAGGTTCTTGGAACAAGACTATGTCTTAGATCATAAGCCCAGTAGTAGACATGTTCTTAAGGAGTTAAAGGGAGTGAGTACTTCAATACCGAGTGCGCTAGATGTTACACCACAAAGTACTGCAACACGTATCGCTGATGATGCACCCGAGCAGGTAGTACCTCGTCGTAGTGGGAGGGTTGTCCGGCAGCCCGAACGGTTCATGGGTCTGGGAGAGTCTTCTGAGGCTGTCCCGAACGTTCTTGAATCCTACCCATGGACATACAATGAGGCACTCCAAGATCGGAACGCAGAGTCTTGGCAAAAGGCGATGAAATCTGAAAAAGAGTCAATGGACACTAATCAGGTCTAGGATCTTCTAGAGCCACCCAGTGGTGTTCGCGCCATTAGATGCAAGTGGGTCTATAAGAGAAAAAGAGGATCAGATGGGAAGGTTGAGACCTTCAAAGCTAGGCTTGATGCAAAAGGGTACACTCAGAAAGAAGGGATCGATTATGAGTAAACCTTTTCGCCCGTAGCCATGCTCAAATCCATCAGGATTCTCTTGGCTGTGGCCGCTCATATGGATTATGAGATTTGGCAAATGGATGATAAGACCGCTTTCCTTAAAGGGAATTTGGATGAGGACATTTGTATGCAGCAACCAGAAGGATTCATTGCAAAGGGCCAAGAGAATCTGGTCTGCAAGCTGAAGAGGTCCATTTATGGGCTAAAGCAGGCTTCGAGGTCTTGGAACATCCGTTTTGACGAGGTTGTCCAATCGTATGGATTTACCCAATGTCCGGATGAGCACTGTGTGTACAAAAAAAGTGATGGAAACGTGGTGGTGTTTCTAGTGCTGTACGTGGATGATATTCTTCTCATTGGAAACAGTGTGAAGATGTTGTCAGACGTAAAGGTATGGTTATCCAAGCAGTTTGATATGAAGGATTTGGGTGAAGTAGGACATGTTCTCGGAATCAAGGTTATTCGCGACCGAGAGAAGAGAAAGTTGTGCCTATCCCAATCCACATACATAGATACTGTCCTAAAGCGTTTCAACATGCAGGATTCCAAGAAAGGGGATTTGCCATTTCGGCACGGAATACCTGTACCTAAGAGGATGTCCCCGAAGACGCCTCAAGAGATAGAGGACATGAAGGCAGTTCCTTATGCATCGGCAGTAGGAAGCCTCATGTATGCGATGTTGTGCACGCGACCTGATATTTGTTATGTCGTGGGCATGGTAGCAAGATATCAGAGTAATCCAGGACCGGAACATTGGTCTGCGGTAAAGCATATACTCAAGTACCTTCGTAGGACTAAGGAGTACATGTTGGTTTACCAGGCAGAAGAGTTGCTTCCGTTGGGTTACACCGATTCTGACTTTCAGGCAGACCGGGACGAAAGCAAGTCAACCTCAGGGTTTGTGTTTACTTTAGGAGGAAGAGCCATAGTATGGAGGAGTGTCAAGCAGAAATGCGTGGCGGACTCAACCATGAAAGCTGAGTATGTAGCAACCTCAAGGGCAGAGAAAGAAGCTGTCTGGCTCAGGAATTTTCTCCTCGACCTTGACGTGGTGCCGAGTTTGCCCGCTGAAATCACAGTGTTCTGTGATACCAGCGGAGCAGTAGCAAATTCGAAGGAACCACGGACTCATAAAGCAAGTAAACACATAGAGCACAAGTACCACCTGATACGAGAAATCGTTGGACGAGGAGAAGTCGTTGTTGCCAAGATACAATCAGAGGACAACCTAGCAGATCCTTTTACGAAGAGCCTACCGGCGAAAGTCTTTACAAGACACGTAGAAGGAATGGGAGTCAGATGTTAGGGCAACATAGGAGACTAGTCTTTGAGAATTAGATGGAAAGAAATTGTGGTTATTTATGTTTAGCCATGAGCTTATAAAGCATAAGTGGGAGATTTTTAGAGGTATGCTGTAAAAGCTATGTTTTGCTGATTCTATCAATTCCATTTTGATCTGGAAATCATGTTTCGGTCAAAGTACATATGTTTGCATTTTATTTATTTATGCAATACATACTCCATGTCTTATATTGAGGTAGTGTGGTTCGAAGAGTTTCGAACAGAAAGATCACCTATCGGTTCCTTATAAGACTAAACTATTCGTTCACAGTCTAGACTGGCAGTGAGACCCCACTTGGAAAAAGAATGTAGTGTATTCTCGATTCAGTTGGTCTTTGACTGAAGGATTACACTAGCACTTATGTTAAGTGTTGAACATGACCACGGAAGGATAAGGATATGAGACTCACTGACCGTTGCCATAATCTAGACCTTCAGTGATTGATGCGTTCTCTTAAGCTGTAAAATAATATAAAATAGGCATATATTTTTATTTCTTATTTATTTGATTTACCAAGTGATTCCTATTCTGTTAAGATGACATACGAGGTATTTTGGTAAGTAAGAATAATTATATGATGTGCCATTATAGATTATTTACAGTCACTATGTTCCAGTGCGCTGGATTGATGACGTCCCCGAAATGAGCTCAGAAAGGAACCATATGTTAAACCCTGCAGGTAGACGATTGTCTGACATAATGGTTAAAGGCTGAGTGGTACTAATTTCAGAAATGAATAAGAAGTTGATTAATTACTTTGTCAGTTATTTAATTAATCAACGGACGTTATATCTTAAACATAGGGAGGTAAATCGATCAATTAGATTAATATTATTTAATCATGGAGGCTCGATTTTATTGGTAAAATAGTGGCTAAATGGGGAGAGCAATAATATTACTCTAGTGGGATGTTTTATTATTTAATTCCATTAAATAGGAATTAATTTTATTCCATATTAATTAATTAATTAGGAGAATAAAATTCCTACTAGAATCTTCTTTTGGGATTATGAGACTTGAGAGTCTTCTAGAAGATGAAGATTAGTGGGAAATATATTTCCTACATTATATTATTAATTGGAGTAAAATTAGGTAACCTAAATTAGGATTTATTTCTATTCCATGATTATTAAGTTAATTAGGAAAGGAAATTCCTACAAGGATCTTCTCTAGTGTTAGGAGACTTAGGAGTCTTCTAGAAGAGATGGATTAGTAGGAGATCTCCTTCCTAGATTGAGTTAGTATTGGATTAAAATTAGGAGTCCTAGGCCTAATGGAATAAGCCAATATTTAGCACCTCCTTAAAGTCCCTAATGGAGCCTATAAATACACCATGTCCCAACCTCTCCTACAATGTTGTATTGGCCGATTTTTCTCATCTACATACACGCGAGAATTACATCGTTCGAGAGTTAGTGAGATCTGATTAAACGCTCCACCAAGTTTAATCGGAATAGGTGTTTAGGTAATCCGTTAGAAGGTTTTTGGGTACAATTAATTGAGCTTTCTAATATATATATTTTCCGGTCATCATCATCACATCATCACCGCCGATCGCCGCCCGTCGGCCGCCGTGTGTGATCGCCGGAAATCGCCAACTGCCGCCGAGTCCAGCCGTGTGCAACCGCAAGCCGTCGCACGCGATTCGCGCATCGCCCAGTCCGCACGCGAAGTCCAGCACAACGTCCGTTTGCGCCTGCTTGCTCGTTGCCACCGATCGCGAGTTCCCAGCGACGTCCGTTCGTCCCTGCTGATCGCTGTCGCCGATCGTCCGCGCTACCAGTCAACGCCTTCGTGAGGTCCCAGCGCCCGTCCAACACGCGCGCCACACTCCTTGCACGCCCAGGAGACTTGCAGTGCACGCCCGCGTGTTCCCAGACGCGCACGCCCAGTCCGCTTCGGCATTGGAGAAGCGCACCACGTGTACGCAAACGCCCATCATCCACCCGCGCATCGCCAGCAGTCCCGCGCGTCTCGCCAGCGCCCTTCCGTGTGTCTGCCCAGCGCCCGACGCGCCCGATAAACACTGATATAAGATATTATACCCACAAGGCTGAACCGGTCTATTGACCGGTCGAGGAGGTCGTATTATGAGAAAGTCAAAGAAATCGAGCAGTTAACCAGTCGACCAAGCAAATCCGTCGACCAAACTATCCTTCGACCAGATACACGATCGAGCAACCTATTCGACCTCAACAGGTCGATTACTTCGAGGACTTAACACCACGTTGTTCGGCCTATTCATAGGCGCGTGAAGGAGCCTCTGAAAGAATTCCAGAAGAATATTTACCCCATGTGCAGGGGGACACGTGTCGAGAAGGCAGTGGTGGATAGCGATAACCACCTCTGACAGCCTACCCCATGTGTAGGAGGACACGCGTCCAAAGAGGATTGGTGCAGGCGATAGTGGCGACGACTACCTCTGACACACGCGTTTGGTGTGTACGGACGGGCAGTTAGGGCAGACAGCTCATCAAATCCGGGCAGCCCTAGGTCAGGTATCTCACCCCTATATAAAGGGGGTGAGCCTTTCTTCTTCAACACGATCATTCTACTACTTACTCTTGAGAATTGATTGAACATACACTGACTTAAGCTTCAGAGGCTCTTCACCGGAAAACCCCTCCGGTGTGAGAGTTCTTTGTAGGTGCACGACGTTCAACGGGTGAGAAGGAAGGCGATTACTCAAGTTCCAGCCGGTCGAGAAGTTTTGTGTTACCATTTGGCGCTGTCTGTGGGACTTTCGTTTGAAAAGGTGTGCTTGAAGCTCAGCTATGGCGGACGGAATTCCCAAAAACTTACAGTCAACGTTCGATGATGCTTGGACAACGACCAGGCCGTTGGGACAGTGTCCTCCCCCGGGTTTTTCTTGCCCATCACAGACGCCGATCACTCCCGTACCTGTGCTCTAAGGTGTGGAAGTGGCAACGGCGATTCCCGGAGGAGACGCTGGCCCCAACCGTGCTCACGAGGCCCGCGCAGCGGACGCGGCGGTGATGCCACCACCACCACCACACAACTCAACGGCAGCGCAACCAGGAGGAGGGGGAGTGCAACTGGGAGCGACGGTGGCGCAACCGGGAGGAACGGGGATGCAACCAGAAAGAGCGGTGGCCCAAGGAGGAGCACCGCCGCGAGCAGCGGTTCAGGTCCCCGACCAGCAGGTGATAATGACCAGGCAGGAGATGCAACAAATGGTGGCGGAGGCGGCCGTGCAAGCAGTTCAGCAAGTCACAAACAGTCTCTCTCGGGCTACGGCAATGCCGAACACTATTGCAGGGTCACGCCAAAACGCGGAGGAGGATGAATCCAGCTATGGTGGAGGCGGGCCCACACATGACCGGGAGATGGAGAGGATGGCAGAACAGCTGCGCCAATTGCAGGCTAAGGTGGATGGTCGAGCGGAGAGGCGGGCTCGAGGACACCCGTTCTCAGCGGACATACTAGCAGCACCCTTGCCAAATAATTACAAAGATACCAACTTGGTGTCCGATGGGACTTCTGATCCGTCGAGACACGTGAGAACATTTGAAAACATGGCTGTGTTGCATGGATATACTGACCCCGTTAGTTGCAGGGCCTTTTTATCGACCCTTAGGGGAGGGGCGCTCGACTGGTTCCAACAGCTCCCCCCAGGCTCGATAGTGGACTTTGAGGATTTTGCAGAGAAGTTGACAAATCAATATTCGAGCGCGGTGGCTCAGGAGAAAACGTATTTGACATTGATGGCGATGAGACAAGGCGAGAAGGAGTCACTGTGTAAATATGTCGCTCGATACAATCAGGCTTGTTTGGAGATCCCATCGGCGGTCGACGAGATCAAGGCGGGAGGATTGATAAGGAGTTTGCGGGCGGGACCGTGTCGGACCTCTCTGGCTAAGACTCCTGCTCACACGTATGATGAAGTATTAAGGAGGTGCAGGAAATATATCAATCTCGAGGAGACTGAGGCGGAGTTTGCCAAACTAGAAGAGCTAGGTCGAGGGGAGTCAAGAAAGGAGAAAGCAGTTTCGCCTAAAAGGAAAGCCTCGCCCAGGAGGGAGGGGCGAGCTAAGCAAGATCGAGGGCGAGAGGACAGGTGGAAGGACCGACCTATCTTTGGAGGGAAGAGATTCCCTGATTACACCCCATTGAACGCGAAGGTGGCTGAGGTTCTGATGGCCATGGAGAAAGGGATAGATGGGAAAGATGTGACGTGGCCAAGGTCGAGGTTCGAAGGGCCCACCCAACCGAAGTCGAGGAGATATTGCCGCTTCCACAAAGACTATGGCCATACTACTGAGGATTGTCGGCATCTCAAGGACGAGATTGAGCGCCTTATTCGAGCAGGGCATCTCAAGGAGTTTGTCTATCAGGATAAGGGGAGGAGGAAGGAGAAAAGAAGGTGTCGGGAGGACTCGGTAGAGAGGAGTGAGGAAGATGATGATGAGGATGCACGAGGTGGGCGAGATGGTCGAAAAAGAGATGAGGGGAAGATGAGGCGAGGAAGTAGAGAGCGAGAAAGAGAAGGAGATGGAGGCCAAGTAAAGAGAGGCACAATATATATGATTTTAGGAGGACCGACTGATGGGGAATCGAATAATGCAAGGAGAGGCCACGTTCGAGCAATGAAAAGGAAGAAGGAAGAGGTGAGTATCACGGCCCGCATGCCGGTGATAAGTTTTAAGGTGGAGGATGCCGAGGGAATGGTCCTGCCGCACAATGATGCCTTGGTGATAACCGCGGAGGTTGCAGGCTTCGACGTGAAGAGGGTATTCATTGATACTGGGAGTTCGGTAGATGTGATGTTCTACGACTATTTTGTGCAGATCAACAGGGAGCTGAATATGGAGCTGAAACCGGTGACCACGACACTTTACGGCTTTAATGGGGGAGAGGTTATGCCGATGGGAGAGGTCAGTTTGCCCGTGGCATTGGGATCAGGAGAGTTGAGAAAG